ATCGCATAGTTGCAGCCGTAAACTGTAGTCGCTGAAACAGATGCACATTGAGGAAAACGATAGGGTCGAACTGCTACCGTCATTTTGATGAATAAAGTTAATGAGCTGTTTCGCCGGTGAGATAAAGTTCGTTGTAACAAAACTTTCAACTTTTTTTTTGGGTGGGAGGGGGAAAGGAGGGGGTCTTTACAACTAAGGTTGTTTTTCAGTGAACACAAGTTTATTTCACTGAAAAATTGCCGACAATTTATAGTGTTATCCCACTGAAATGCATCGTAATACAAATATTATTTCCTATCTCTGTTCTTATTCAAAGCCAAAATTGTACTCATACAAGAATTGTCAACATTGGCAGCAATAGAATACATAAAAGGTTGAGTATTTAACCCAAAAAAAAATTCTTTTTTCTTTTTTTGTAATTGGTCAAGTTTTTCATTTTTTTTTTTTTACAGTACAAAATCTAAAATTTTACTTATTTTTATTTAGAAAAAAAATTTTAAAAAAAAATGCTGCACATTAATTTGAGAAAAAAAAAATTAATTAATTCAGAAAACAAGATCAATAAGCTGAAAATCAATAGAATTTTAAAAAATTGTAGTAGCAAAAAATTATTATTTTTTTTTTAATGCTAATATTACAACTTTTTTTTGCTGCTGATAAATATGCTTTGATTAAAAAAAAAATAATCTCAAAAATTTAAAAAATTTAGACCCTCTAACATTTTTAGCTAATTTTTTGAAATCGTCAATGAAGTTTTCAAATGATATGCAAAAGTAATAAACAAAGCAGTTAAGAAATGAAGATAAGAATACAAAACACAGAACATTAGACTGCTAACAACAGAATAGCCTTTCAGCAACTTACCTGACGACTTTTTTCTGTATTGTCTAAAAGAAAATGAATAATAAAGCATAGATTAGTTGCTTATAGTTTGGAGTTCTCTCTTAGGCTATTGAACATCTGCAACAGATGGTGAAACAATACTTTTCTTCCAGCACCTTTTAGGTGGTCAAAAGTATTGCAGTGTTTATGGCACATTTAGAATTCAAAATCAATTTCTTCAGAAGTACCTCAATTTTAATCAGTTTTCGAGTCTTCCACCAGAAATTGTATCTTAACAAAAAGTGTCAATTACCATTTCAGTTACGTTTCTGTTTTGCAAGTTTTGTCTTAACAAATTTTTTGAAAATTAAATAGAAATTGTTTTTTAACTGGTCTTATATTTTGCAAAAGAAAAGCATTGAAAATGACATCAAAACGCCAACAAAGATTAGTAGCGTGCAGAGCATTGATAAAGTTATTCATTTTAAACTTAAATAAACAAAAATAAATGTAAAAAGAAGTGTCTATTGGGTTTGCGATTAATACAGAAACAGCTTATAATAATTTGTTGAATAATTTGAGCGTAAATTAATGATTTTAATATGATGAGATAAAATATGATATGAAAATATGATAAAAAAAAGTTGAAAGCTTGAGTATTCTATACACTCAAGAAAGTTTTTTAATTAGGTTAACAAAGAAGTTTGCTCTGTAGTTTAATCAGTGTTTACAAGACTTTCAATAATACAATAAAAATAGAAGAACAATGTAGGCGGATAGCTGAGGTAGGGGGACACGGGAACGTTCAGAACGTTATTTTTTGTCATAAGGTCATGTCAACACAAGCGTTTGCAGAGTAAAGGACTTTTCTAACCACTGTATCTCCAGACGTCTTTCAGAAACTGTTACTGAATCAAAAACAGTAAATGTTGTCCTTATCCGATTAGAAGCATGTAGAACCCTTCACAATTCAAAGATTCTATTTTTTTTTCTTGAACAACTTTCTTAAGACTTCAATCTTCTTCAACAAAAGTTTCTAATTGAGAAATTTTTTTCAGAAAGAAATCTATTCTAACCGATTTTGCAATTTCATAAAGTTTTACTAGCAAAAAGAAATAAACTTTTTAGACAATCTAGAAAAGTTTTTATTTGATGAGGTTATTTTACTTAAATCTTTTTAGTTGTTACAATTTTTAGCAAAGCTATAAGCAAATAAAACTAAAGCATAACTATACATTATACCACATTTAAAAAGCTTACAAAGCAAATTATAATAATACAAGGCACTAAAATCTGTAGTTGTTTTCTTCCCTATTATTAACGTCCACAGTCTTACAACAAATCTTCTGCGGTTCAAAATGTTGCTGACTTTCTAAGTTGTGCTCTTCTTTATTATCCAAATGCTTATCCTTCTGTTTTAACGTTGACATCCCCTGAAGCCTCTTTTGCATAAGCAGACCAACAAGTGTAACCTCTAACTTCGCAAACGGCATTTCAATGAACACGCACCACAGAAATGCCATTGTTAATGTAACCACGAAGACTGGAATTGCTTCACGGATATACTGAAACAAATTAGCAAATCTTCTCAGCAACTCAGCTATTGCCGCAATCTATCGTATAATAACATTTAAAATTTATTTATTAGGTACATTTTTTGTGGTAAAAATAAGTTGCTAATATCGCCTCAAAAATTGCTGTTCTTACATCGCCTGATCTCTTTCTGTCTTGTCCTTTCAATAACTTATTTTTTGCAACGCCACTTGGTTACGTTGAACTACTTCAAAACTTATACATTAAACTGCCGTCTTAAAATTTGGAATAACCACTAAAAACCAAAAACTCGCTTCATTAATTACATAAGTTCTGTTTGAAAACTATGAAACAAACTTTACTTTTAGGCCATAATTGCTACTGATTTATAAATTTTTCCACATTATGTACTTTTCAAATGTCATGTTCGACAGGTGATACCCTCGCAAAAGCTTACAGCATGTTGACTGCTTACGAACAGGATCGGTCTGCCATCCAGAGCGTAAACTAGTGGTATTGATATTGCGTGAGTCAGATACATGCAGTAAGTCAGCCTGTCAAACGGGAGCCAAAGTCCTTGCTCCAAAAAATTTTTAATTGGACCTTAAAATTTGGCACGACTTGTTAATGACATGCTATACTCAGTTAAAAAAAATGTATCTGTAGCAATTCCATTTATTACAAAAAGAAATTTTGAGAGGTCTTACGAGAAACTAAAGAAAATACAAACCAGCGGAAGGAAACCAAAAAAGACCAAAATTACTTGGCATTGCTAACGGACAATAGACGAAAGTAAATAAGAGTGTCAGAAAACTGTATCATAAAGATTTGGTATTATGCAAGCGACTTACCAGCCCAGTTCTTTTCGCAAGCTATGACTACCCAAGCTATTGCTAGTGCCCAACCAATACGTGACCAGTAGCTATAGCTTGCACTTGCAAAGCTAGAAATTTTGTGTGATGGTCCTTGAATGTAGTCATACAAGCCGTAGACGCAACCACATGCGGCCAGAAAACTTCCAGTCCATAGCAAAACGATATACACCTGAACAATAAAACACTGTTTATATCAGTTCGAAGTTACCATCACCTTTAACACAGAACTTTGTGACTGTTATTTGCTTAATTTTTCCTAAAGTTTGAATTAACATTTCTGCATAATACCCATTTGCAAATAAACTAGAACAATTATATTCAAGTTGATACATCTGTCAGATATGAAATAAAAGAGGACTAGTCAAAGATGAAAGAAATCACCCAGTTTAGATGCAACTTTTTGCTTTTAGTTTTTGACAGAAAATAGCCAGTGTATATTCCAATCAGATAAGGAGTACATCGATTCCACACTGCATAATAAACGAGGTTATCGTAATATGTCAGTTTTTCTCGATTGTAAATCCTGAACAAATAGTAACAAGGAAATAGAGCTAGTATTGACTGGTCAAATGCTGCTCTAATTCTTAGCTTAATGCTGTTTTACAGTTTTAGCAGCCTTCTGCCTTCATTACACATAAGATTAGTGGTTCATCACTTGAAGCAAGAAACAAATATGCTCACTTTGAAAAATTGGCAAGTGTGACTATTTTTAAATCGCTTACTCGTCAAAAAATCCTATATAATTTGCAGGCAAATCATATTTTGCATATACAGCATAGTTGATTCCAGCAAAAAGAATGATTAGAAAAACTCCTAAGCAGTAGCCCGTTACAGGAGAGAAGAGTAAGGGAATCAGAAATAGAGGAGCAAAGATGTACATTTGCATATCTGCAGCCAAATACCAGGTATGAGTTAGGCACTGAAAATTTGTTGTTGCTTAAACAATCAGTTTGGCGATTGTTATAAACAACTTACATTGCCCGTATTGCCATACATTTTGTTTATGTATAGTACATTACTCCACCAGTCTGTCTTACATGGTTCCGTGTTTACCATTTCATGAAACAAAATTGGGCCAAAGGTTATATATTCGTTGATGACAGTGGCGAAAGCAATAAAAAAGAAGTAAGGTGGACTAAGCCTAAAATTACTTAATATTAACAGTTAAATGTATGTAAACTTTCTTTCAGCTTCATTTTCTGTGTTAAAAATAAAACGATAAACGTTTTCAAAAACAAAGTTATTAGAGGAAGGTTTTATAAAAAATTAGGACAAAAATTCTTATATAATTAAATACACAACGAGAAGGAATTTGCATTTTGTCAGTTCTTGCGCGTTTTCCGCAGTTTAAAGAAATTTCTTAATTTTTACACGATAGAAGACAAAAATTAGTCAAAATATCCTCTATATATCGCTCAAAAAAATCATCTACACTTATGACTTTAATAGATTTTGCGGTACACCGCATCAGTCATATTCAGTAATCAACAGACGCTTTCCTCGTTGAGCAGTTTCGTACAGCGTCAGAACCTTTATCATACTTGTTGGATTTCTAAGCAATTGAACACGCATTATTTGGAAGAGAAGTTTTGAAGAAGCTATAATGAGATAAGCAGCAGTGAAGTTTTTTTGATATTCAAATGTTAAGACTGGCCAATGTTCTCTCTCCGCTTTCTCTTTTATTTGCTTTTCCATCTTCTTCTGTCTTTTTTATTCCTGATTCTTCACTTTAGCACTACCTGTTCTACGATGTTCGGCAGATTCCGTACGGCAGCAGGTCAAACTGATTACGGTTAACGACAAAGAAGAGATGGTAGCAATAAGCTTCTTTAAAAGTGAGCTTTTAAATGAGTCACTGCCGAGTAATAAATTTGTATTGCTTGTTTCAGCTACTTGTGTCCAAAATCAACTACACCCTTCCTGCGAAAAACCTCTTTTCAGCGATTTTAAAACAGCATTGCGATTCTAAACTAATTTGTAAAGAAGGACTACAGTTCTGGCTGGCAACCCTTCGAGTTTTCTGTCAGTCTACTTTATTTTGTATCTTCATTAACTTCGCTTACGCGGCTTAAAAGGTTATGTTGAAAGAGCGGATACTATATTTAGCTGTAAAGATAATTGATAAAAGTCAGTTGTAATTAAAACAAAACTTGAAGCAACTCTTAATCAAGCATTCAGTAACTTTTGAAAAGATTGTATTTTATGGTTTCCTTGCTCAGGAGAAATTGTTGATCTGACAACGGGTTATGCACTCGGCTTTTTAAAGATAAAATTTCATATTTGTTTAGAGAGAAAAATGAAAAGTAATTAATCGAATAAAATGAGTTTGTGATAATTCTAAGAAGACAAAACGTTTGGTTCTTTGAGTAAATCGGTAAAACAAGAAAAAACGTTGACGAAAATGGCATATTTTTATGCTTCTACTGCAAAAACTACAGTCAGTTATAGACATTTGATGATTATGAGGCCATAACCTTAAGTAACGGTGAACATAGTAAAGGCACCAAAAAGCGGGCGATTTAACGCTTCTAGGATTTTTGGTTACTGAGCGGAAAAATACGTAACCAACCAGCAAGCCGGAAATGAAAAAAAATGTGTCCACAGCAGTATAAGCGGAAAAGAAGGCGTCATTCAGAATATAGACAGCGTTTTCAATAGTCGGTATCAGGTTTTCTGTAAAATTAACACCGTTTTATGTACCACACGAAACATTACAGCTTAGCTACGGTGCTTTGAGAATAGGGATTATATGAGCTGGAAGTAAACAAAAGCCTACCTGAATCAAGAAACAGGGCAAGAACGTGACCGGCAATTACCCAACTAATTGAAATGGCTCTAATACTGCTCAAACAGTGAATTCTGTTTGGTAGTTTAGTAATCGACATAACTTCTGCTGCATTGGTGTAGAAAGAAAATTTGAGAAAATTTTGAGCTACTGTAACAGAGTGAATTTTTTATTTCCGGTATCTACATTATACAAAACTTTGATATCTGTTTTAATATGATGCTTAGTAAACTGTTTTAAATCACCATCTTGTGCAGACATCGCAGTTTTCTGTGAGAATAAATTTACGGTGTTTTAGTAGTTTAAATTTTCAGGAGTCTGAGAAAGTAAAACAAGGTTCAGTTTACATCATATTCAGTGCAATTCATTATAAACAACTAAAAATTTGGAAAGTTTGATCGGGGAAAGAGATAGTTCAAGCAAACTTACCAACACCTTTTCTGTATCGTGTAAGTGGACCAAATTCAGTGCAAAAATCAAAGATAGCAGATGCGATGACAATAATAAAAATAATTGACAAGACTATCCTGAAAGCAAGGCGAGAAGAAATTGTCAGGTGAACTGATATAAGTCAAAACTTTATAAATGTTTTAATCATTAAAATGATTACATAACTGTCCAAAATCCTATCGATCGTTGTGGTAATGTTGCTGGCCGACATCTCGTTGTACAAATTTTATACAATGAATCTGAGCGTTTGTTAAAACTTTTGACTAAAGCAGTAATATCCTAAAACAGGAAAATATACGACTTGGTTAGCTCTTCTAAAACTGAGATTTACCTAGTTGACGATAAACTTCTGAAAATCAAGCTTATGAAATTAAAGAAACTTTTTTTGGAACAAGTTTAGCGTTTTTAGATTCTGATAAAGTCTGTAATGTATGTTTCACAAGAAATACGTTTTTTTCTGAACATTTAAAAAACAGTGAAACAAGTGGTTTTGTGTTTAACTTCATGAATTCTCAAACAAAGTTGCTAACGCAGAAAAATGTTTAAGAAAACATTGCTATTGATATAAATTAAACTTTAGTGTGGAATAAGAAAGTTATTTTCAAAGATAACAGTGATGAAAATAAAGATTGGTTGGTTCTTGACTTATCTAAAACTGTTTTCGGGGTATCGCCTTCAATTTTGGTTTGAAAAAATACGGCTCTGTAGTAGAAGTAGTTCGTTTTTAAACCAAGAGGAAGTTCTCTAAAATTTTTAATCTTTTTGTTTCCCTGTGCAATTTTGGACTTTGAAACGAAAGGGGCTATTGCGAAGGCTGCCAGTAAAATGTTTATCATTAATTTTACAAATATGAATAGCTCTTAGAAACTAACGTCTTCTGGGCATCTTCTTGGCACGCAAACAGCCCACTTAGCTTGCACCAATGAATCGCAGACATCCACACTCTTCTAAAATTCTTTTTTGTTTTCTAAAAAAACGCAAATTGCTCTGAAAATATGTGTTAAAAAATGATCTTTAAATCACCTTTATATCAGAAAAAAATTTCGAAGTTGCTGATAGTTCTATTCCAACAAAAATGTAGCAAAACTTTGCTTTATAATCAGGTTTTTGATTAGTTTTTAGGTTAACACATTCATCCCAAGATCCCATAAAATACGTTTTCATGCTTAGCACTGCAGGAGGAATCCTTCCAAATGCATCAACCTCTAAATTTTAAAAAACATATTTTTTTAAGTTTTTCAATCCTTTGTAAAAATAGCATTTGTTAGATGCATAAATGTATTCACTAACTGTTACCTATATACGATAGATAAAGTCAACTTTTAGCTTAGTTTTCACGCAAGAATAATTAGCGCTTTTAGACCTTCTTTCAAGACGTTCAGGTGTCAGCGCGCTGACAATGTACTCTCCACTGTGCCTTTTTAGTAGCAAATATAAGATCTACCTTTATAAAGAATTCAAAAAGTCATATTTGAAAAGATATTCCCGCAAAAGAAAAAAATATGATACGTTTCATGGCGAAGAGATGTTTGTGAACCAAATACTGCTTATAGAATAGGCAATCTTTGTTATCATCAGTGCAGTTGATTGAAAATGCTCCGCTGAAGTTATCTATAGAACGCATCCAGAATCGTATATCTTCCCTACACTGCGGTGATGAAATTAAAGTGTAGTTTACACTTTGTTCAGCCGAATTAGTGAGCTAAAAACGCTGTCATATTGCATCTTTTCTGATTCTTATCTAAAAAATTGAAGAGTTTCAAAAATCTAAAAGAAAACAACCAAGTATTTGGCACTAAAACTAATAATCAGCCCTTTTCTCCGCTGACAGTTTCCAAAAAATGAAGAAAATCTTGAACCTTTAAGAACGGCATCGGATTTCTCAGGCGATCCGTAGCTGAAGACGTTCCAAAAAGTAACAGCAAAGACAGCATCAGAAACCTGAGGAACTTTGACATTCGAGCTTCAGATTCACGAACCTAAGGATTGGTGTATAATAGGAGTATTTTTGACTGAAGACTCACAGTAAGAAGGACACAGGAAACGATGAAGTGCATGTGATCTGAACACACGACTCCATTTTACACCATCTGTTGTCGTACGGTAATAAACGTGATAGTATTGAAAGATGACTTCTTTTTAAACCTACTTATGCAAAGCTGCATTACAGCGGAAAAATTTCGTGAAAAAGGGTATTCGACAAAAACGCTGACTTCCTGAAATCCCCATTATTGCGTGTTTCGACACTATATTTTTGGCGCAACTTTTGTTGATACGATAATTTGTCCAGTTCTTTGGTTCAGTGTTTAAAATTTCTTGGAAAAAGTGCAGTGTACGAAGGACTTACATAAATTATTTTGTACAGTAGAAAACAGTGTTTTGCTAGCTGGTTGAAGATTTTTTTTTTTTGCATTTTGCCTAAACTCAGAAAGATAATGGAAAAACAATGAACTTACAGTAATCTGCTGTAGTTTAAATTTTTCTGTGACAGAGACTGATGACAATGAGTTTGCTACCTCACACCAAAATTTCTTTGATCCTCTTACTTGCTAAAAAAATTTCTTGGCGAGAAAACTTTATTACCAACAATAAAAGATGTACTTTTCAAGCAAAAATGAAAACGCCGTTTCTAGTTGAGTAGGTATACAGTAAAAAATGAGGTTTTCCGATCTGAATGCCATTTCACAGAGCAATAAGATAAATTTTTTGCAGGACATATACTTTTATGTAACCACAATTAGTCGACGAAGCAACAGCGACGAAAAAAAAAAAGAAGAGAAAATTTTACAAATCAACAATGAAAGACTACACATAAACATCAAAAAAAATTCTGTCAGAAGCGCTTTTTTTCACTTTTGCAACTCTTATACAAAAAAAAATAAATACATTAAAAAAAAATTAAAAAAAGCTTCTAAAAAGTGACGATTTTTTAAAATAATTGCAATATGTCTGTGCTCGTAAAGACTAAAAGATTTTTTTTTAAAAATTAAACAAAAGATTTATTGTCGAAATTATCAAAAACGATAAAACATTGCCATTAGCTTTTCTTTTTTAAATTTTATCAATTTGGAGCGTTGGTATCGCTGTTCTAAAGCTTCTTGCGTTATGCATTCAAAAGAAAAATTTGTCTACAAAAGGGTTTTGCTTTTCCAACAAATTTTACTGCGTTTGCTGATGTAATACCCTTCACAGTTGCTAAGTTCGATTTTGAATGCAGAAAGAAAAAGTGGTACAGAAGGCAAATTGAAGTTTTTTGCGGTAGCATTTTTTATTCTGAAGCGAAAGAACAAGTTTAGAGAATGAGAAGGCTTAACCGGCTTTACCTAAAAACTGCAATTATCAGTAACAACAAAAAAGCCAATTATTATGTAAGCATTTAAGCAAAATATTAAAACCACAGAGAACTCTGCTAACTCTTTTCCCTTATTGAATCTATAAAGAGCAAACGTCTAACGGGTTTTATCTCAACAGGTTGTAAGCCGGAAATATCTTCTAATTGATCTTTTCTTCTTAGTACGAAGTGCTCAGGTGGTAAAATCAAAATTATATGATAAAAGATGACGTAAAGTGAGAATGAATAGCCTAAATGAAACATCACTTTAGGCTTTATGCAATTCGTTTCTGTTACAAAGTCATGTGCTACTTTTTTTTAATGCAAATGCCTCCACACCGAAGCATCGCTGATTAGTTTTTTACCTCCTAAATTTGTCTTTTTGGAATTATCATTTATCTATAAAAAACTGCTGTACTTATAAGCACTGCAGTTGAATAATTTAACTCAAAATAAACGTTAGTTTTAAGCTGTTTGATTCCTTTCAAAAACGTAAGTAAAAATTAGGTTTTTTTATTATGAAAGAAACTTATTTTGAACAATTTCACACGTAGTTGTAATTTTACAGATAAAAGAGCAAAAATTTTTTTATAGTTTTAAAAAAATTAGAGCTATTTAGAACCATCTCTCTCAAATTCTGTAAGCTATTACAGCTGTCGTCAAAGTTATAAACTCGTAAAATTAAGACACAGCCATCATTACAAAGAGTTGAGAAAGTCTGAAAAGTGGCATATACTCACACAAAGCATTAAAATCTGCAATCATTTTCTTTGCTACTGTTAGCATCCACATCCTTAAAATCAATCTTCTGGCGCCTAAAATGCTGAAGTTTTCCCAAACATTGCTTGTTCTTATTATCCGATTGCTTATCTTTATCAGTTCGCATTGGCTTTTCCTGGAACTGTTTTTGTACCAATAGATCAAGGAGCGTAACTGCTAACTTCGCAAATGGTATTTCAATGAAGACGCACCATAGAAATGCCACTATCAATGAAACCACAAAAACTGGAAGTGCTTCACGAATGTACTGCAAAGATATCATTAGATGATGTCAGTCAATTAACTATTACTGTGATCTATTACGAAATAACGTTAACGTCTGAGTTGCGAGATGCATTTTTTGTTTTGATAAAGTATAGCTAAAGTTTAAGTCATCTGGTGCTTTCGTACTAAAAAATGTTTTCCTGTTTTATCTTTACACTAGTTTATTCTTATCTACGCTGTAAAGTTCTTTTATTTATTCTAAATCTTATTTTCACAGTTACCATTCAAAAGTTAAAGTAACCGCTTAAAACTGGCAATCTTCACTCTTGATTTCTGACATAACTGTTGTCTAGACCTACAAAGCTACATTCACTGTCATATTAAAATTGCCAGTAACTTCTAGATTTCAAAATCAATCAAATTTTCTTTCATGAATTATTTCCGTTTTAAGTGTTACAGTTGGTTAAGAATGCTTCTTCCAAAGACTTACAGCATAATGAGTGCTAACATATAGAATCGGTCTGCCGTCTATTGCATATATAAGCGGAAGTGTTATTGCATGTGTCAAGTAAATACAGTAAGTTAGTCTGTCAAACGGGAGCCAAAGTCCTTGCTCCAAAAAATTTTTAATTGGACCTTTAAAATTGACACAATTTATTAATTATATGCTTTACTTAATTAATAAATACATTGGTGTTAATTCTGCTCACCTTAAAAAGTAACCTTGACGGATTTTGAGAAAAATCAAAAAAAGAAACACAAACTGACGCACAGAATCTGGCAAAGACCAGAATTACCTGGTGTTGTTGACGAAAGAGAAGCAAAAGCATATAAGGGTATAAAAAAACTGTATCGTAAAGGTTTGGTTTATGCAAACAACTTACCAGCCCAGTTCTTTTCGCAAGCCACGACTACCCAAGCTATCGCCAGTGCCCAACCAATACGTGACCAGTAGCTATAACTTGCACTTGCAAAGTTGGAAATTTTATGTGATGGTCCTTGCAAATAGTCATATAAGCCGTATACGCAACCACAGGCGGCCAAGAAACTTGCAATCCATAACAAAATGATATACGCCTGAAACAACGGGGCATCCTTTATATCAGTTCAGAATCATCGAGGTCATGAAACAAAATTTTTTGGCCGTTATTTAGTCAGGTTTTCCAGCATTTGAATGAACTTTTCTGCATAATACAAATTAGGAAGTGGACTATCCCACCTACATATGAACACATTTGTTAAATATGAGGTGCAGAAGAATGGTGTAAAGATAAAAGAGAATACCCAGTGAAGGTGCAACTTTTTGTTCTTAGTTTTAAACAGAAAATAACCAGTGTATATTCCAATCAAATAAGGAGTACATCGATTCCACACTGAGTAATAAACAAGATTATCGTAATGTATTAGTTTTTCTTGATTGTATATCCTGAAAAACTGAGAAAAAGAAGCAAAAAAAACTTATTAAGCGTCAAATACACAAATGTTCCATTTATTATTTTGAACTTCTATAATTGCAATAAACGTCTGCCTCTAAAACATTTCTGGTAAAGGTCATACTTTTGAGACTAGAAATAAATTTGCTTATTATTAACACCTGTTAAACGCGAAAAAACTTTTAAATCGCTTACTCGTCAAAAAATCCTATATAATTTGCAGGCAAATCATATTTTGCATATACAACATAGTTGATTCCAGCAAAAAGAATAATTAGAAAGACTCCTAGGGAAAAACCGATCACGGGGGTGAAAAGTAAGGGAATTAAAAGCAGGGGAGCGAAAATGTACATTTGCATATCTGCAGCCAAATACCAAGTATGAGTTAGGCACTGAAAATTCGCTGTTGCTCAAACCATCAGATTGGCGATAGTTATAAGCAACTTACATTCCCCGTATTGCCATACATTTTGTTTATGTATAACACATTACTCCACCATTCTGTTTTACATGGTCCGGCATTAACCATTTCGTGGAATAAAATTGGGCCAAAGGTTACATAGTCGCTGATTACAGTGGCGAAAGCGATAAAGAAGAAATAGGGTGGGCTAAGTCTAAAAATGTTCAAATGTTGAACGTATTCTCGCTCGTTCTGTGCTCTAATGTTCTTTATGTTTAAAAAGAAATGTGCGATTGTTAGAAGTGGAATTATCCGAAACAGCCTTATAGATGATGGGGGCAAAATTTTATTTGCAGAACTTAGTAAAATAAAACATGAGGAGGCAACCATGCTTCTGTCGTTTCTCTTATATTTTCTGCAGTATGGAGAAAAACTGCTAAATCTTCCGTGTTCTACCTGTTAAAAATTTATAAGCAAGTTTTTTGATATTTAGCTTCACTTTCGAATAACTTTAAGTAGTCATATCTGTAACAAAAGAACTGAAACGGATTATGATCCTAGATTAAAAGACAAAGAAATTAAAAAAACTCTGGTGCGAGTATTGACATTCGCTTCTACCGCCGCAGATTTTGTGCCTCGTTACGCAGTGATCACGTCTTGAATTTTTCCCGCATAAGTTCGTTCATTTTCAAAAATGAGTCCTCGAAGCTTCAAAGGACTGCTAATTAAGACCATCATGATTAGCTTTTTTTTTGAATTGTAATTTCTTGTTTTTAAGTAACTCGCACAGAATCAAAAAACGAATTGGCTTGTTTTTCCAACTAAACGACTGTCATCTATTAATTTTTGAAACGTGTATCCTCAATTAAAAAAAGTTTCGCCAGAAGTCGTAATAGGGTGAGCAACATTGAAGTTTTTTGGGGAATAAACGACGAAGTGGTTCACTATTTCCTCCCTTTCCTGCTTTTTTTCTTTTCTTTTGCATTTTTGTTCCCCAATCGTTGCGTCCTTTATTGCGCGCCTTCATACAAATTCGGTAGGCCGACGAAATATCACAGAATGGTTGAGAATAAAAGTTAAAAAGCAGCTATAATACCACGCAAATACTATGCAACTAGAAATAAGACCATAACCTTATATAACGGTGAATATAGTAAAGGCACCAAAAAGCGGGCGATTTAACGCTTTTAGGATTTTTGGTTACTGAGCGGAAAAATATGTAACCGACCAACAAGCCGGAAATAAAAAAAAATGTGTCCACAGCAGTATAAGCGGTAACGAACGCGTCATTTAAAATATAAACAAAATTGTCGAGGGTAGATACCAGGTTGTCTATAAAAAGTGATATTATTTTAGGTATCACAAAAAAACGTCATCGTTTAGCTACGGTGCTTTTAGAGTAGTGGTTATATCAGTTGAAAATAAACAAAAGCCTACCTGAATCAAGAAACAAGGCAAGAACGTGACCGGCAACTACCCAACTAATTGAAATGGTTCTAATACTGCTCAGACAGTGAATTCTGTTTGGTCGTTTAGTGATTGACATAACTTCTGCTGCATTGGTGTAGAAAGAAAACTTGAGAAAATTTTGAGCTACTGTAACATAGTAAATTTTTTATTCCGGTATCTACTTACAAAACTTTGATATATGTTTTAATATGATGCTTAGTAAACTGTTT